GATGTGATCCAGCACTCTGGGAGCGAGGGGGGTGATCACCTGAGGTCGGGGAGGTCGAGGGAGGTTGCAGTGAGCCGAGATTGCACCACTGCACTCCAGCCAGCCTGGGCGACAGAGCGAGACTCCATCTCAAAATAAATAAATAAATAAATGTACATTTAAGGCTAGGCATGGTGGCCCACGCCTGTAATCCCAAAATTGTGGAAGGCTGAGGTAAGAGGATTGCTTGAGACCAGGAATTCCAGACCAGCCTGGGCAACATAATAAGATCCCCCACCCCACGTGCATAAAAAGATTAAATTATTACACATTTTAAAAAGACAGAAATGAAGCATCTTAGATACCACCGAGATTGGGGTAGTAAGAATCTGGATTTGGACAGCTTGTTGGGTGTTTTATAGGTGTGCTAAATCAGATTTCACGCTTCTCGTTGAGACAGAATCTCGCTGTGTCGCCCAGGCTGGAGTGCAGCGGTGCGATCTCGGCTCACTGCAACCTCTGCCTCCCGGGTTCAAGTGATTCTTCTGCCTCAGCCTCTCCAGTACCTGGGACTACAGGCGTCCACCACCACACCCGGCTAATTTTTGTATTTTTAGTAGAGACGGGGTTTCTCCATGTTGGTCAGGCTGGTCTTGAACTCCTGACCTCAGGTGATCCACCTGCCTCGGCCTCCCAATGTGGTGGGATTACAGGCGTGAACCACTGCACCTAGTCAGATTTACACATTTATATAATGTATATACACAAGATTCTTCAGAATGGGGACTCCATCCCACAATGAGGTTCAGAAGCTTGTACACCACCACGTTGAGGCTACAGAAAGGATAGAGGATTGGATCCTGGTTAAAAAAAAAAAAAAAAGTTATAGGGTTGGGGGGAAAGAAGAATTTCTACTGAGGACTGAACTCTGATTTTTTTTGTTTGTTCTTTTTTTTCTTTTTTGAGATGGAGTCTCACTCTGTCGCCCAGGCTGGAGTGCAGTGGCGCGATCTCGGCTCACTACAACCTACACTTCCTGGGTTCAAGTGACTCTCCTGCCTCAGCCTCCTGAGTAGCTGGGACTACAGGCACCTGCCACCATGCCGCACTCATTTTGTTTGTATTTTTAGTAGAGATGGGGCTTTCGCTATGTTGGCTGGACTGGTCTCGAACTCCTGACCTCGTGATCCACCTGCCTCGGCCTCCCAAAGTGCTGGGATTATAGGCGTGAGCCACTGGGCCCGGCTTCTTCTTCTCTGTCTTTTCTTTTCTTTATTTCTTTCCTTTTTTTTTTTTTTTCCTGTGAGATGGAGTCTCACTCTGTCGCCCAGACTGGAGTGCAGTGGCGCAATGTCACCTGACCACAGTCTCCGCCTCCCAGGGTCAAACAGTTCTCCTGCCTCAGCCTCCCGAGTAGCTGAGATTACAGGCGCCCACCACTACTGCCTGGCTAATTTTTGTATTTTTAGTAGAGACGGGGTTTCACCATGTTGGCCAGGCTGGTCTTGAACTCCTGACCTCAAGTGATCCACATGCCTCAGCCTCCCACAGTGCTGGGATTACAGGCGTGAGCCACCACACCGGGCCTCTGACTTTTTTTTTTTTTATGTTGCCCAAATTCGTATCTAAGGGGTCTGGCTGGGGAGGCATGCCCTACAGACCATAAATTCTCATCAAATGGGATTTATTTTACCCTGTATATTATATATATAAATATACCACTATATATATAAATATATTATATATATATTGTGACTTACCTTCCAATCCCACTCTGGCAAACATTACAAGACAAAGAGAAAAAACAACATATTTTTCCCCAAAACATGTTTCTTACTCGTATTTCTTTTATTTTTTTTCTTTTGAGACAGTCTCATTCTGTTTTCAAGGCTGGAGTGCAGTGGTGCAATCTTGGCTCGCTGCAACCTCTGCTTCCCAGGTTCAA